GGCCCGCGCCGCACGCGCTGCACGAAGCCGTAGCGGACGGCTGCGGTGAGCAGCAGCATCTCGTCGGCCGCGAGGCCGCCCGCCTCCAGAGCCATGAAGTGGTCGTTGAGGGCGGCTCCCACGCGCAGGAGCTCTCGGCGCTTGGACAGCAGCGCGAGGATGAGGGGCCTGGTGTGTGCGTGTGTGCGTGTGCATGTAAGAGAGAGAGAGAGAGCGCGTGAGTGTGTGTGTGTGTGCATGTAAGAGGGAAAGAGACTGTTTGCCGCTGTGGAGGAGGTGGCGAGAGGTTGAATTCAGGTGAGTTCGCAGCCACGGCACCAGGCCGAGGTGCAGTCCAGCATAAAGTCCAGGTCGCCAAACGCCCCCACCCGCCCGGAACCAAATCACGTGGCGCCGCTGCCCCTCCCTCGCCCACGCACACCTCGCCAGCACCAGCCAGGTGTGGTGGAGCACCAGGGACCTGCCCCAGGCCTCCGCCTCGGCCGCGTCCATGCGCAGGCGCCCCTTCAGCTCCTCCGCCACCTCCTCCTGGGCTGCCTCTTCGTACTCGTACCCAAACCTGCCAGCGTGATTGACAGCATGCCAAGAAAAGCGATCAGGCAAATGAGGCACGCGGGGCACGCATGACACCTGGGGGAAAGGGCTGCATGAGGGCCGGCGCTGACGCCCCGGAGCAGACCTGGTATGTCAATGGCATGGCGCGTCCACAGCGCGGCACCGAGCACACGGGACGCTTTGGGACGCGCCGCCGCGCACACGCATGCGGGAAGAGAGCCCGCTCGTAGCTTGCATTGTCCCTGGCAATGGCGCGCCACGCACTGCACTTGGCACTCGGCTGCGCACGTGCATGCGGGCACGCATTGTCGCAAGCGGCGAGCGCATATCGTAGGGATTGCCCCTGGCCAGCCCCTCGCACACCTGAAGTCGGTGAACAGCGTGTGCCCCGGCCGCAGTGCGCCGGGCGGCACGCGCGCGACGGGGACGTCGTGGCCGCTGCACACTGCGACGTGCTGCACGGCGGGGCAGCGGGCCAGCACCTCGCAGGAGCAGTCCAGGATCGCCTCTGGGGGGGAGGGCGGGGGCCCGGGGCACGCGTATTGCATGTTTGTGTGTGGGTGGGGCAGGGTAGGGGCCGAATGTGTGTGCATGTAATTGTTGGTGAGGAAGCATGCGCGCTTGCATCTGTTGACCAGATTTTGATATTCGAGGCGTGTTTTTATACAACAACAGCAGATTTTCAAAGAACTGGCCCCAGTTCCGCATTCACACATTGCAGGGGGTATTCTGCCACCAGAGCTGGGGGCGTCCACACGCTGCAAGCGCGAGTGTCTGCGCGCGCCCGCGGCGGGCCCGCGCACCCGTCAGGCTCAGGCAGCCCCAGCGGCTCTCCACGCGCGTGTCCAGCAGCCGCTCCAGGATGGCCGCGGCGCCGGGCATGGCGGGGTCGACCTCCACGCCAGCCTTCATGTGAACCAGCACCTGCAGACGGGGCCGCGCGACAGCCGTTCGCGAGGCGGTTTCGCAGCGGTTGCTTTGCGGCCGGGCACGCGCGCTTGTGGGGGGGGCGCGCCCTCAAACGAGCCGCGCGTGCGCAGGAGCAGCGAGGGGCGCGATTCGTGACAGTTGGGCCGGCTGCCCGCAGAAAGCTGCACTCATGGTCCCGACCTGCAGATGGAAGCCGCTCGATATGAGCGCCCCTCTGACAGGACATCAGTCGGCAGGATTGTGCGCTGCAGGCTTGCGCGGTCCTAACCCTGCACTGCAACCTTTTGCCTGCTGCGCCCGCGGGCTCACCACCACGCGGCCCTCATGAAGCTCCTCCCACCGCGCCCACACCATCCAGTTGGGCCACCCCGCCTCATGAAGCATCACCAGCACGCCCAGCGCCGCCGTCCCCTCCGCGGGCAGCTGCGGAGAAGCCGCCGCCGCGCCGGCGCGACTGGGTGCAGCGGCGGCGGCGGGCCCCGGGCCAATGGTCGCGGGTGCCGAGGCGGCGTCGGGCTGGGAGGCCTCCAGTGGCGACTCCTCGGGTTTGGTGGGTGGCGGCGGTGGGTGCGTCTGCTCGTGCTGACGCGCCTGCGGCCGCCTTACCCGCTGAGGTTGCTCGTCGGGCGCTGCGCTTGTTCCTCGCGTCGGGCCGCGCTCGCGCGGCACTGCGGGCTGCGCGCCACTGGCTGTGGCGCTGCCGCCCTCCGCTGCAGCGGCGCCAGCGGCGGCGGGGCTCGCGACCGCCGCAGAGGCCTCTGCGCCGGTGTCGCTCGCATACGCGGCGTCAGCAGCGCTGCCCGTCGCACTGACGGCTGCTGCATCGCCCCCTTCCCCAATGCTTGCCGCGTCGGCTGCAGCCGACTCCTCGGCCTCATCAGCGGCCGGCGCCGCGCCGCCGGGGGACCCCAGCAGCTGCGGCCAGCGCCGGCGGAGCGCGCCCGTGCCCTGCCGCACCGCGAGCGCGAGCGCGGCAGGGTCCCAGAGAGGCAGCAGGCCGTGCGCCTTGTCCATCCGCCTGTGAAGGGGGACGTGCTCCGCAGCAGCAGCAGCGGCAGCGGCACCCTGGTCACCAGCCTCCGCAGCTCCCCGTGTCTTGGCGCCCCCACGCGCGCCCGTCGCAGCCCTCGCGCGCCCGTGCGCCGGTGCGCGCGCGAGGCGTAGCGACGCTGTGCGGAGCCGCTCGCGCCTGTGACGGCCCGCGCCCTCCGCCGCCGCCGCCGACGGGGTGCGTGTGCAGGGCGGGCGCGCCGACGGCATCGCCGCCTGCTGCTGTTGCTGCTGCTGCTGCTGCCGCTCGAATTGCTGCTGGCGTTCCCACAACTCCTTGAGCACGCCACTGTCTGGCGCGTCCGGCGGCGCGACCCAGCCCTTCGGCGCCCATGCTCCGTGCCCCTGGAGATGTCAGAAAGCGTTTGACTGTTTGAGGGTGTTGCCTGCACCCACTGCGGCCCCACATGCCCAACCAGCAGCACCTGTCAGCAGGCCACACCTTGCAAGAGATGCCCCCTTCTTATTAATCCCTGGCTTTGCGTGACTCCTCCCTGAACCGCCCCCCCCCCCGTCACGCGACAACCGCAGCGTGTGTCACCTCTCCCACAGCCTGTCTGGCCAAAAGCTAACTTCCCTTCCTGCCTCCTTTCTGGCCCACAAGACACACACACACATACACACACACACAAGACTGCACAGGCACCAACATTACGTCGCTCCCCCCTTTCTCCTATTGCCCCCCTCTCCTATGCTGTTGTTCGGCCTCCGCGCCCCTCTTACCCTCCCCCCTCCCGCCCAAAGCATTGACCATCAACCATGAACCATCAATCAGGAACCATCAACCAACAAAGATATGCGGCCCCCACCA